CACTTTGGAGTAACCATTTCGTTGAAAGTCATTTTTGATGATGCCTAGTTCCTTTTCGAGACCTTCCTTTGTATTACAGAGCCTGAAAGCACGGTCTAGTAGAGTCTTGATGATTCCTCTCTTATTCGATTGATGGTGGTTGGATTCCTGGTTAAGTTCACTTTGGTTCAATTCATTTTTCATTTCGGACTCTTGTATCTGTTCATTGTATTGGTGAGTTTTATTTAGTTGCCTCAAATGAGTTAGGGTCTAGTTACTGTTATAATCATAATGTCAAATTCAACTTGTGAATGTATGTACAAGCTTTTATGCAAAGTTTCAATATCCAGTCACAATCATATTTGAATATATGTACAAGCATTTATGCAAAGTTTCAGTATCCAGTCACAATCATATTTGAATATATAATTCCATTGGTTCAATTTTATTAGGATAGTAATTAAAATTGTGATGATGGTGCATAACCAAGCTCCAAAAGTCACGTATGTTTCAAGAATAATCACACCCAGATGATTTCATGGCTGTCAATTTTATTGCTATTGGAATGAAGCGTTTTATCGTTGTTTTGGTTTTGCCTTCAATTTTTCATTATTTTTATCGGTTTCAAAGAAATGATCGTGCTAAAATTGTTTTATTGATGTATAGTGTGGTACCACGTGGGTTGACCTATAAGTTTGCAGTTGTTGCAACTATTCATATTGATTAAGATAAAGTCACACTCGGGTTCACGCATAATTAAAAATTTAAAATGAAAGGAAGAAAAAATTTTGAACTCAAAATATCGATTTTTCACTAGGTAAGTGACTGTGAATATGCTAGTGATGAAATCTGCTTAACTTCACTTACTCATGACATAAACTCACATTTTTTCCGAATAATTAATTTTGAATGAGCTCTTATAAATTACCGAAATAAAGCTAATTGATTCATACATTTTTCTGTGTAAAGGAATATCCGATAATTTTAATGAAGAAATAGAAATCATAAACAAAAAGTATTAAGATATGAAGCAAAATAGTTGATATTTTTGAGGTTATTTGATACTACTATTGACTTGCCCCTTTTTAATACTGAATATAGTAAATCATAAGTGAATAATTGACGGTTATAACCTTCAGATGTACGGCGCGTCACGAATTAAACTCTTGTTTTCAATGTGGTTGATAATCTTTCTTGGTGAATGTTTCAGGTTCTGACCTGCAACAGTCACGAATTTATCTCTTTTTTATCTCAACGTTGGCAAAAATTCAATTGTCTGAAGAATTATCTTAAATTGAAATTGAGGATCGAGAAACTCTGACTGATTTTAAAATCTACATATTTTCACAAGTACCGCAATATTTGACTTAATATAATTGATGAATGGAGCCGTCATTACGTGGTAGGAGATCATCGTGAAAAATGAGGAATATTTTTCTTTATCACTTCACTGAATAGTTTCCACTTTGTCCATAATTATTTTCTCTTTGTTAGGTCATGAGCACGTGACACATTTCGATATTACTCAGCAGTTTGCGTCTACCATTCTGATATACCATACAAAAGTTAAGTTACATTAGTTGAGAGCAGGGTTGTAACGAAACCTTGCCTAGACCTCCACCTTCGTAAGTGTGAAGCTTACACACGATCCGCATTCGCTTAACGGAGTCCTGTTCATGAAAGAGCGAGTTTATAAATTTTGCTTATAAGTGAAGTAAAGTTTGAAATATTTTTTATAAACATTAACGTTTCTGAGTTTCTGAAAGTAAGTAATACATTTTTTCCAATCGAGGCATTTCTCACCAATATTTTGATATTGTGAGAACGGAAAGGAATTATCTTCTGAAAGCTAAATATATAAAATAATAAACGGTTTATATTACGCTGTAACTTTTCGCGATTAACTTTTCGGTTTGCCTTTTATTATCTAAATTTTAGATTCATTCATTTTAGATTGTGGAAGCCAAAAAATATCAAAGAATATAATTTGCCTCTTAACACATTAGAAAATCCCTTTTCGTAGGGGACAATCTCTGCACTTCAATCTTTATCTCCTCTACGTGGCCTCCGTTACAACACTGGTCGAGATTTCAGCGGAATTTTACTCCACAAAATGAAATTATGCAATAAATTGTAATATTTCAATTACAATTATAATATCAAAACAAACACTCTTCCCAAACTTTTCCCGCTTTTTTTCTCGACACGCGTTTCATCAACCAAGTTAGCGTCTTCAGGAGACGCCAACTTGTAAGTTTATTCCAATTATAATTATATATGAAATCTTTGAGTGGAACAATAGATATTATTTAGTCGTTTGGTTAATGAAATCTGTGATTCTAATTTACTCAATCCAACTATTTATCCATAAAATTATTCGATACAAGAAAATTCATGTGAATATTTTTTTCAAATACGTACATAATTATCCTTTTCAAATTCATTCATGCGTTTCGAATACGCCTAAATAAATCACCTGTCGTCAGAATCATAGTAAAAATCAACCAGTAAGTCAACTCCCACTACTTTCATTCATAAATTCACAAAGTTCTCGGTGACCTCGAAACGAATTGCGGAGTGCGGAGGCGTGCGCTCATATAAAAATGAAATTTAAGGTTATTATAGAATATTTTGTGGTAAATCACTTATAACCAACTACAAAAACTAAAAGCAATAATAACAACAGCGAGTAAACTAAACACAAAATCAATTTCCGACCGTTTATTATAACTAATCCGATGTACATGGTAACGTCGGATCCTTCGATATTACAGCAATGAACGCGTTGGATGAGAATCTCATCCTAAGAAAGGTTGAAGGTCCCCGGCAACTCGGGCAGATCACGTGGTAATATAGCCTACTGGTTGCATTATTCTACTGTGTCAGAATCATATTGCCCCATTATTGCCCCAATTATCGACAAGTATCAAGCCTGAAACTGAAATTTTACATTATTCACCCCTACAACAAAAACCGATATTACTACTATGAATGGCAGTTTTGCTGTGACAATAGTACAGCAAAAGAATTATCCAACTTGAAACAAGGAATATGATGAATTTTCTAAACTCATCAATATAGTGGTTGCGAAGATGGTACGTAATAGATAAGCTTGTTAACGGTCATCAAAATTATTTTCTTTTTTGTACCTACGCAAACATAACTTCATGAATAGGATTATATAAACTGACGTCAGGAACGGATCTAGGAATTTATTGAAGGGGGCGCTCTTGAGATAAATTGTCACTATAAATAAAAGAAAATTAAGATGTGTGAAAGGTATTTTCCGTATTTTTTTACTGTGGTTTACATGTTTTAATTCCTGACGTTTCTTCCACTACTGCGGTAGACATTTTCTGAAGCGATGACGCTAGTTTTAGACTCTGGTTTTATATTGTTATAAGTGGCGTGGCTTAGTTTATCTTTATTGTATTATTTCACCTTGTGTGTATACCTCTAATGACAGGTAGTCAGACTTTATTGATGTTCATTGTCTTTTCTTTCCTACTGGTGTTATTCCACTGTTTTTGAATTTCTATTGCCTCTCTATATACTCTTGGATAGACATTTTGAGTTTTATCGAGTATCACTGTATCTTCCAATGAGTGCCTTCTTTGTTGAGAGCATGTTCGGCTACAGCTGATTTGTCGTTTTTTTTGCGTGATTCCAATGGAGACCGACCCGCAGCTACAGGTTCTATGGAATCCTTAGCTGACCTCAGACTTTGTCTGAGAGTTTTTTCCTAAATATTGGTTTCACGTCCGGTCTGTAATATCCAAATAGAAAATTTGCCGTTGTTCTTGTCTATATTTAGTTATTTGTACTAAGTACTAGTTACACAATTCCACTTATTCTTCTGCTTTCCATAACTGCTTGACGTTTGTTTATTATTTTAAATGTAAATCCTAGTTTCTTTATCAAATTCTAAAGAGTTTTGTCACAGCAGCTCACGTTATGGCCAGCTCAGCTCAGTTGTAGGAATCTCATTGCTTTTGTAACAGTCTTATATTGTTTTTTCAATGATTTTATCAGATGAACATCTAAATGTTTTGGTAGTCCTGTATCATATCCCGTCTTGCGTTCATAAGGTTTGTTTTTGACTATTTTACGTACAGTTGAAAAAGGAATTTCGGTCAAATCTGATGTTGCTTGTAATAGTTTGTTTCCGTCGAAACCAAACTTGAGTTGTACATTCTTATAGATATTGAAACATACTCTCTGTGTTTAAATATTCAAATGGATCCGAATCTTATGCACTGGTATCTCTTTTTCGCATTGTTCACGATCGCTATTGGAATCACTATACTGGAAAAGGTGTGCGTTGTTATCACATTCGTTATGAATATTCGTACTTATCCAAAAACACCACATTTTAAGTAATTATAGCTGCACCAATATCGAATTTCAACACTCGAATCGCGATCAGTTCCTGAACTGAACACAACGGCGATAACCTTCCCCAATTTATATTCGTCACCGTAACATGACTTCAAATTTAATTTTATGACTCTTCAGCCAATCATGAAACTCGGTTAGTAAAAATTATCCATTACGAACCGCCAAGTCTACAGTCCACGTTGACTAGTTCGCTGCCGTTTCATGTCTATGTATTGGTTTTTTTTTGGACTTTGAAAGTGCCGCCACCTTTAACTGTGCACAATACAGTTTACTTCGACTATACCATCCGTTTGTCCGTAAAAAACACCATTCCACTGAAAATAGGTTGGTGACGTGAAAATCTCACAATAAAGTATTACTTGAATAATTGTATTCATATTAATTTTTCATTAAATAAATTGTGGTTAAACACTTAAAAATATTGAAACTTATGACTAATACCGGAAATTAAGATTTATTCACTTCACAAAATAATTCTCGGGACAATTTGTCTTAATAGAACCCTATTTTGTTTTCTCTGGAGGTCCCACTTACAGATCGAAGTATTCGCTCTATTATACAATGTGTCTCTTTCATTTTTTTTCTGCAGTGTACAGTTTTTTGAAGAGTTTTTTGTTTTCCAGGAAGATGACAGCGTGACCACTCCTTTCAATACCCTTCACGATGGATTTTCGCATTCCTGTAGCCATGTTACTGGCAATTGCGATTCTGCTAGCTCCCATTGTTGTCGCTGACAATGAAGATTTCGCCTTCGATGTTGCTGACGATTTGCAGGTTGAATTTGAAGGGGGACGACTTTTGAAATGGAGCGAAAGGGAATTGACGGCGTACGTAGGAAGAGCGTTCCACCTAATTGTGCCCAAGGAGGCATTCGAGGGAAACGTTAAATATTTTGAGGTTAGTATTAGAAGTAAAATATCTTCCACCCTCTCAACTTTTGAACGGGACAAGATATCAAGGTAAGGCAGAGTTTGCGTAAAAAGGTATAATTTTTAGTATTTTTTTCATAAAAGAATAATAATCAGTGATATCAGCTTATTTTTTAAATGGAAAGAAAGTATTGTGATGATACCTTGTTCGGTAGAAATTTCAATTCTTCATTCAGCACTGCTTCACAATACTTTTCATTTGAAAAAACCTATAGTGACCTCTCAGCAATGACTAAGGATCATTGATTGTTTCATCAAAAAGTGTTTTGTTTCATTCATAAATTATGTCCGATGTCTATATCTAGTCTCGTTCAAAAGTTGAAAGAGGAGATTTTTCACGCCAAAATGTATAATGATGAAATAATCGTCATTTGTTTCTTTCCAAAGTATTTATGAATAGTTTTTGGTCGAATAGACACACTCACAATCAACGCACTGCAAATTATGCGGACGTTGTTGAAGTTCATTCATTGTCTCTTATGAGTCAACGCAATCGTCTGTGCAGACAATTGTTACTGAATACGATATATAATTTGCACGAATGTCTCTATTTTCCAGAAATACCTAAGGGATATCTGATTCCCAGTACAACCTACTTTTCCTGAACAGTTCAACTTTCTTTCGTATGACAAAACGCGACCACTCTTCGCAAAAGATATACCAACTAGCTCCTTCACATGACAAAAATCCAATTATAGAGATATAAGAGTTTTAAATGTATCTTTAGTGTTTATCTCTGTTTATCTCGTAATTATTACCTATTTTTTTCAAAAAAATCTACCTGTTTCAGTCATTGTTTATCCAAATACTGCAGTATGATTTATGATTTTGATCCCATTGACTGAAAAGCTTTGTTTTCTGTTTCTGAAGACGAGTCCTTTCAATGTTTAAACATGAAAACGGCGATAAATGTACTTTATATTCTAAGAAGACGCGAAATATGCAAAGCCAAGCTCAGACATCTACTGAAGAATAAGAAATCACTTTCAGTCTTCCTCTATTTCTCTCCTTTTGTAGCTTTCGTAGCTACGTTAGTAGACTTGTAGTTATTTTCAACCCCCCTTTTTCAGCAAAAGTAACCAGAACTCCTCCCCTAAACGTTTATGTAAACATTGATGAATATGTTCAAATTAGAATCTATTAAATTTTGCAAAAAATCAGAAATAATAGATGAATATTACTAACGTAACCACCATCCAGACCCTCCTCTCGCTCCAATGTCATCAAAAATAATCAACGCTGGTACCATAGCTACCATAGGAGGTACCATACCTCCTTACTGGTACTGGGATGGTTCATGAATGTAACTATATAAATATTTTCTAAATAGAACAAACAATCCTGAGTGAAAAGTTGCGATGAAGATTCCCTTTACGAAGTTGCCATCTGTGTGATCGATAAATAATATAATCTTTGCAAAGCCGAAATTCAAAAAAATGTTTTTGTCTCCCTGCTGCTTCCACTGCAAGCACAAACGTATTGCATCCATGATCCAACACCAAATCTTGAGCTAATTGGTCATTGTTTATTTTTAGTGATGATAATTTTTAGATTGGTTTAAAATACATGATTTTCCATTTCAGGAAACTCTAAAAATGGACTGAACTTACAGTTTATTGATTAACTAAAATTCTAGTAACGGTTCAGTAAGTTGAATTTACACGAAATGAGACGAAAGTGGGAATATCGTTAACTAGTGGTCCTTTCTAACTCTGTTACTCAACCACTCAGAATACGGAATCAAATCGTAAATTTGAAAGTCGACCGATAACGACATGATTTCGGCCTTAATTGTCTTTTAAGGAAATATTCGAAGTACATACAGCAAGTACATGCAGTACTGACAAAGAACGCATTAAGATAGAAAATGATGAAATCTACCGTACGACTTGGTGCGCCTATTTGGGTTTTAGAGTGGCCTGAGAGTACAGTTCTCGCCGCAAGTAGCAATTAGGGTTGATGGTTTTTTAACTCATGGTCAATTATTAGTTTAGAATGATAATGCGGTATTTACGTAATTGAATTTAAATGAGTTAGTTTTTCAGCAGTGTGTATTGCATTTAATTTCGAGTTTATTAAGGAAAGGTAGAAAGACTTATTCTGAAAATGTAATTTATTTGGGTTGAAGATTAAATTTCAAAATTGAAATTTCTTGGGAAACATTATATTTATTAAGATGAATGAATCCAAACA